CCGAGCGAGCATAGGAGTAGTCGCTTGTTCTTCGTCATCCTCGTCTTCTATTACAAATTGTGTGGATTCGGAGTTTGAAATCCTCCTGCTGGAGCCATACTGATCACCTTCGGGCACCGGGGGAGCTTGTTCTCTTTTCCACATGAGGGCATCTTCCCAACCACTCACTTCAAGCCCGAATACGACAGGGAAGACTCTTGACAAGATTCGCATGCAGTTGAGAGCTTCCTTTGTTGGGTTGCGCGAGTTGCCTGTGATATTGATCGGCAACGAATTCAAGGGGTTGAGCGTGGACGAGATGGAGGGTGGCGGGGAGGGAAAGCTATGATCTCCTATTAAAGACGCAAGCTTGATAATCAAGTATCGTATTAAGGTGGATATATTTTCCGGACAAAGATGCAACGCTCTATACACTGTCTCAGAAGTGGCCATTAGACGCCAAATTAACAGGAGCCGTCGGTCTGTACACACCATCGTTTGGACTGATCAAAGTGAACACGTCACTTGCAGAGTCGAAGAGGGTAATGTATTGAGACCAATATGTCTCATCGGAAGGCGGAATATTCTGTTATTACATCCAATTAGCTTTCCAACGCCTTGTGGACTGCATTCGAAGCAAGAAATGGAGTACCTTCTCTTCAGCAAGTCTTCTAATCCCATTGGGACTCGTTCGAAAAGTCAATTTCGCATCATCTCCTAGAAGCCCAAATGCGTTTGGTAGCTGTGTAGGTAGCTTTGGTAGCGAGAACATGTTGTATCTATCACCAATTTGCAAGTAATCCCGATGAATGGTCTCGTATGTGGTTGTTTCTTCTAATCTGGTTGTATTCGTCGGATTACGGGCTACGTAGTCGAGCCGCAAAGTCGAAGTGTATACTGGACACCTGTTAATTATACGACCTTAGGAAGAGACGTAGTTTGGGCCACTCAAAGTGGTAGATGCATGCAGCAGACGATTCCAAAGTGAGGCGCAGCGTTTCTAAGGTCCCACCCTGCTTGA